CAATGCCTGTTGAGTCCAGCTACTTGGGAAGGCTGAGGCAACAGGATTGCTTGAGCCCAGGAGTTTAAGGTTGTTGTGAGCTAGGCTGATGCCACGGCACTCACTCGTAGCCTAGGCAACAAAGCAAGACTCTGGTTCTCACACACACACCAACAAAAGATTACTAGCCTGTAAAAGGCCGAAGCAGGCTCGTCATTTTTTCACTGCTTTCTCAAATCTGTATCTCAAATTCACACCCAAAAGTCAGCCATAGGCTATCAACTGGCCCAGCCTCTTATTTCCTAAGCAGATCAAGATATTTTCACTCTCTATTTTCATAGATGAGCATTTGAGCGGCCCAAGGAATAAAGTCCTGATGAAGTGGATTAGAACCTAGACTATTTCTATCTGCCTTGAGGGTTATAGGAACTTCGTTGGTCGGGAGCAGGTATAACAATCGCAGGTGAACATACCTTTATAATGAATACTGCAGAGTTTCAAGATTCATTTCCGTATCAGTCTTTTAGAATTGAACATGGTCCACCTAGAACAAACAGTTCGGGTTGAGGTTTTCCATACTAGGTTGTTTAAATGCGATTAATTATATCATCACATGCCCCTACTGTGTGTATAAATTACTTGTCCAATCTTACCCAACACAGGATTTGATCTTTCAACTTTTCACTGTGATCTGCTGGACCCCAGTTATGTGGTTCATCATCCTTATATGCCCACCTTTTTTGACAATTTACCTTTCTTAATGACCTTTACTGAGGAGCCTGGCTGGTCTGGAGGACTTGGTCCTGTTCCATCTCAGGGTTGCATTTAGCCCATTATTTTCTTTATCTTTCAATCTCTCCCATTCCCTTGAAGTTCATGTTTCAAATTATGTTTCATTCTGCCACTTTTCTTTTCTTCTTTTTTCTTTCTTTTTTTTTTTGAGGCAGAAGTCTGGCGTTTGTTGTCCAACCAGCTAGATGTGAGAGGCCATGCCTGAACAGGGTCCAGGGGTTAGTCGGCACCGGCTGGAGTCGTCTGAGGGCTGCTTGCATTTCCAGCAATGAAGGCGTCCTTTCCCCTTACCCGCAGCGGCCCTGCAGGCCACTCGAGCCCTAATGGTGATATCCCTGGTGCTGGGTTTCCTGGCCATGTTTGTGGCCACCTTGGGCATGAAGTGCACGCGCTGCGGGGGAGATGACAAAGTGAAGAAGGCCCGTATAGCCATGGGTGGAGGCATCATTTTCATCGTAGCAGGTGAGCCACAGGTCCAAGGTGGGCCATGGGCTCTCCCATCTGGGAGGAGTAAGGGTGGGCAAGGTGCTGGTTTGGGAGCCTTTCAAAATCAGAATCCTCATTCTCTCTCCAGGTCTTGCTGCCTTGGTAGCTTGCTCCTGGTATGGCCATCAGATAGTCACAGACTTTTATAACCCCTTAATCCCCACGAATATTAAGTAAGTTTGGGAGCCCTGCCTCCTTAAGGGATATGTCTGGGGTCCTAGGATATGGAGGAGGGCAAGGGCAAGCCAAGATTTCTGACCTCGACCCCTTCTTTCCACAGGTACGAGTTTGGCCCTGCCATCTTTATTGGCTGGGCAGGATCTGCTCTTGTCATCCTGGGAGGTGCACTGCTCTCTTGCTCCTGTCCTAGGAGTGAGAGCAAAACTGGATACCGTGCACCCCACTCCTACCCTAAGTCCAACTCTGCCAAGGAGTATGTGTGAGCTGGGACCACCAGGCTCCAGCCTGACAGGCTATGGGTGTGCCCAGATGCTTGAAAGGACCTGGGGCAGAGCTCAGCCCCACAGTGGGCAGGGTGTAAGACAAAGGCCTCCTGGTCACTTCATCCCTGCACACCATGTACAGTTCTCTAGGGGGTTGGGTAGGGGAGACAAAAATAGGGGAGGGTGTGCTTTTTGTACCGTAATAAAATATAAGTTTTGGAAAGCAGGCTTTTATTTCCCTTCAGGGCCTTTGTTTTTCTCCTGTTCAGACTCTTGCAGGGAACTTGGAATCTGAAGTACTCCTACTTCAGTTCAAAAAACACTTAATAGAGCATCAGTGGGGTGCGAGGCTACTCTTGGCCTTCATTTCATTGCTATTGTCATTGAGGCCCCAACACCTTGACAACTGACTCTCAAAGGTGCTTGGCTCCCATCATCTATTCCCACCCACCCCTTTTATTTAAATAACTACCAAAGTTTCTTTTGTAATAAAATATAAAGATTTTATTAGGCTTGGGGGGTGTTCTATTCTCTTGCCTTAACCTTTGCCTTCATCTTACTTCCTATCTGGTCTCTGGCTCATAGGGCACAGCCTCCACAGACACAAGGAACAAAGGTGGGGCAGGGACGGGACGGGGGTGGGGGGGTAGGGGTGGGGGTGTAAGGCCAACATAAACAGCAAAAGAATGGTTCTGGGCCCAAGGTCTTCCCCCTCCCCCACCAATCAATTTAGTCAAATCTGGCCAGTCAAATATCTAGGTCATCATCTGGGTCTTCTTGGTCTAGGTCGTCATAAGTGTCTGGCTCATAGAAGATGTGGCTGGTAGCCTGGCCCGGCCCAGGGCGCAGTAGAGCCTGCTGTCTGAGGAGGGAAGAAGTGGTGCTGGTGAGGGTGGGTAAAGAGTGTCTGGATGCGGTCTTCCAGGTGACTGTAACTCTCCCTCAGGCAACCCCTCTTAGGCCTCCTTGTCATCTTCTTGGTACAAGGATACTCTTGTACTGCCCTTCTCCTAACAATACCATATGCTCTTTGCTTGACAGCAAGGACTGTGCCCTAGTGGTCTTGCCTCACCTACCCACACACTGGGCACAGAACAGCAGGCATCTACTAAGCCCTTGTAAACTAACCTTTGCCACACCCATATATTCCTGTCTTCCTAACACTCTTGACTGGAGATAGGGCCACCTCCCAAGGGTCTAGTCTGGCTCAGGCCAGGCCCAGATTGCTCTGAGGACAACCATGATGCTGGGACCCAGGGGTCTAACAGGGAGAAAAGAGACATAAAGGCCCTCTGCCATTGTAAAGGGTATGGGTGGGCAGAGAACCACTCCCAGGACTTGTCTCTGGAAGTGGACTTCACCCCCTGTAAAGTCTGAGAGGTTAATCAGTAACCTGCTGTCACCAGCTCTCTGTGACCCAGATGCTGGGCTCTACTCAGGGATCCAAGAACCTAGGCCCCAACCTTACTTTTCAGAGCTGAACTGGAAGGGCAGGGTCAGGCTATCTCTAGCTTCTCTCTCTTCCTTGGACAGATGAAGGTTAAAGGTCAAATGAGTCGTGGGGTCCACCTGTAGGTACAAAGGATGCTGCCACTCTGCCCCATCCCTGGAATCCCCAACCCCAACCCCCAACTGCTAGTTTTTTTTTTTGAGACAGAGTCTTGCTTTGTTGCCTAGGCTAGAGTGAGTGCCGTGGCATCAGCCTAGCTCACAGCAACCTTAAACTCCTGGGCTCAAGCAATCCTGTTGCCTCAGCCTCCCAAGTAGCTGGGACTACAGGCATGAGCCACCATGCCCGGCTCATTTTTTCTATATAAATTTGTTGGCCAATTAATTTCTTTCTATTTATAGTAGAGACGGAGTCTCGCTCTTGCTCAGGCTGATTTCGAACTCCTGACCTTGAGCAATCCGCCTGCCTTGGCCTCCCAGAGTGCTAGGATTACAGGCCTGAGCCACCACACCAGGCCTGCTACAGTTTTTATTTTTGTCTCTCCTGCCAGGCCCTAAGCTCCATTAGCATTCGTAGATACCCGGAGTGTATGAGGATCTGGGTGGGGCGGGGAGTCCACAGGGGGCCCCTCTTGGAGATCTAGGCTGAAGTCTGGAAGGATGCAGAACCACTGAGTCTGGGGAGAAGAAAGAAGAGAGTTAAAAAGGTTTTTTCCACCTTGGTAACAAACCAGAGAGAATGCAGGATCTCACATCCTCAGCCCCCAATCACCTTTCAGCCCTTGCCCTCAACTTTTAAATCCTCCTTAAAGTCCCTCCATATGGACTTACTCCGTCTTCCTTCTAGAAACCCCCCCAGTCTTCTCAAAATCCTTTTCCATTTCTGGGAAGATGGTGTCTTTCACTGGTTAAGCTCACAGACTCTGAGTTAAGTAATTCTTAACGTTCAAATCCTGTCTCTGCCACTCATTTTATAACCTTGGGTAACTGATTTAAATTTAAACTTCTTTGGACTAGTTTCCCAGTCTGCAACATGGGGATAAACAATCTACCTCACAGGATAGCTGTGAATAAAGGAGATACATGATAGAAAACACAGAGAAGGACTCAATCACATCAGCTTTTTTATTGTTCTTCTCATTATGTCACCCCTCTCTATGACCCTGATCTCCAGTTCTTCCCCGCTGCTTCTCCTGACCTGGTGAGTTGGGCGCTGTCGAGGCCTCCGACAGAGGATGTGGGCTGAGGTCTGGCTCATTGTACCACCCAGGGCCACCTCAGTCTGAGCAAGGCTGCTCAGTGCTCCCACGGGGCCTGGGCCGTGAAGCTCTTCATGTAGCAAGCCCAGCACACGTACCTGCCCCACTGGGGAGCTGTCACCTGGAGAGGGACAAGAAATGTAGGGCACAAGGAACAGTAGGGAGCATTCAGGATGGTGGCCTGGGAGCAAAGAGTGAAGAGGAGAAAAAGGAGAGGCCCACATTCCATCACAGCTGTACCCTAATCCTGACTTACCTTGGCCAATCTCACTGTCTTGCTCTGAGCCTCTTCTAGCCCACACCTTAATACACCTTCTTTTTGATTTGAGAAGGAGTCTCACTGTTGCCTGAGCTAGAGAGAGTGCTGTGGCATCAGCCTAGCTCACAGCAACCTCAAACTCCTGGACTCAAGTGATCCTTCTGTCTCAGCCTCCCAAGTAGCTGGGACTACAGGCACATGCCACCATGCCTGGCTAATTTGTTTTCTATATATTTTTTAGCTGGCCAATTAATTTGTTTCTATTTATAGTAGAGATGGGGTCTCGCTCTTGCTCAGGCTGGTTTCGAACTCCTGACCTCGAGCGATCCACCTGCCTCGGCTTCCCAGAGTGCTAGGATTACAGGTGTGAGCCGCCACGCCCAGCCAATACACCTTCTTATTCCAATATAAATCTAATCAAGACACCACTCAGACTTCAGTCCTTCAGCAGCTCCTCGCAGCCTTCAGGACGGAATAAACACTTTTGGGGTCTGGTGTCTGTTTACGTTCTAGCCTCATATCTCACATACTAAACTACTTGCAGTTTTTGCAGCTTGCCAGGATCTCAATCAGTGCCTTTGATTCCCTCCCTTCTTTACTTTTTGGGAGCATTTTCAGAGGCCAGGCACTACACTAAACACGTCAACACAACATTTTAATCCTAATACTATTCCCTTCCCCATTTAAAGAGGAAACAGAAACACTGAGAGATCAAGTACCTTAATACAAAGCTAGGTGTGTTTTAACTCCAAAGCCCATTCAAATGCCCATAGTGGACTCCAGGGCTAGTCCCAGTGCCCCTGCCTGGCCGAATTTGCCTGATTGACCCCTTGCTCTTCAAGATAGTTCCCTTCTTAAGATAACCTGTGAATATTGCTATATCATCATGGCCTGTATCAGACTATCTTATAACTGCCTGTTTACCTGTCTGTATCCTTTATGGAACTTTGAACTCCTGGAAGACAAGGACCCAACTATGAGGTTAGTCTTTATTTTTCTATTAGCTAGAATTGGACCTGACGTACTATATATTTAATGTTTGTTAAATGAATGAATGAGAAAAAAGTACTTGAAAAGCTGGGCACAGTAGTATGCACTTATAGTCCCAACTACTCAGGAGGCTGAGGCAGAAGGATCGCTTCAGTACAGGAGTTTGAGGCCAGCTTGGGCAACATAGTGGGATCCTATTGCTTGGCCGGGGGGGGGGGGGGGGGAGGCCATTTGGAGGGAAAAAAAAAAAGAATGGTAGATGGCATATGGGGAAGTAAAAAACCAGAAAATAAAGTTAAAGAGATGGAAGAAGGTCTGGTTGGAGATCCCTGCTGTTTCTCCTTAGGGTGGAAAGGAAATGGGACACATTTCTTGACAGAGGCAGATGTATGATGGGAAGCAATGAAGGAGGGGTCTCACTAGGGCAGGAGTTCTGATGGCTCAAGGCATGCAGGGTCTGGCAGAGTGTGGTGCAGGGAAGGTGAAGCAACAGCCAGCTGAGTGAATCGAGAGCAATGGTGACAGGACCAGGATCTGTCCTCTTGCACATGGCCGTCAAGGCTCCCAGGGGTCCCCCAGGAAGGGTCTCCCCAGTTTTTGACCAGTTGAGAGGGTCTCTGAAGAAGTCATGGTAAACCAGACTGCAAAGGGAAAATAGGAGAAAACATAATGTTGCCCCTTCCCAATCAATCTCAAACTTCATCCTCTGATCTTTGTGGCTCTGTTTTCTTAATTTTCACTAATATCCTAAATATTAGCAAAGGATAACTGCTGAGAGAATATAGTGATTGAGACCAGACAGCCTGAACTCCAAGCTTGGCTTTGCTACTTGCCCAAGGTCACCTAACTGAGAAATTACTTAATCTCTCTAAGACTGTTTCTTCATTTGTGAAATGGAGATGCCAACCTCTAGGCATTTAGCATAGTGCTTGACACATGCTAAATGCTTCATAAATGTTAAGTTATCACCATTATCAAATATTTCCTGAGTGGTATATAAAGTATATCATTCTCTGGATTAATAAAGAGAAAGTAGAAGACATGAGGCATGATTCCTGCCTACAGAACGGCTTACAGAAAGCCAAGGATTAAGTTATGAAGAACTAACTATAGAAAAATATAATTCAGCCTAGAAAAGGGAGAGTGACATGGGCTGGAAATCCTGGGAAAGCTCCATGGTAGCAGAACTTGTCATAAAGCACCACCTCTTGTCACAAAAATGGCTGATATAAAATTAGAGCTCAATGCATACATGTATGCTACTATTATCTACTGAGCTGTCCAAACTAGGAAGCAGAAAAGCATTCTACTGACCAGGCCCAGTGGCTTGCTGCCTGTAATCCTAGTACTCTTGGAGGCCAAGGCGGGCGGACTGCTCAAGGTCAGGAGTTCGAAACCAGCCTGGGCAAGAGCGAGATCCTATGTCTACTATAAATAGAAAGAAATTAATTGGCCAACTAATATATATAGAAAAAATGAGCCAGGCATGGTGGCGCATGCCTATAGTCCCAGCTACTCGGGAGGCTGAGGCAGAAGGATTGCCTGAGCCCAGGAGTTTGAGGTTGCTGTTAGCTAGGCTGATGCCACAGCACTCACTCTAGCCTGGGCAACAAAGGGTGACTCTGTCTCAAAAAAAAAAAAAAAAGAAAGAAATCAATTGAACAACTAAAAATATATAGAAAAATTAGCTGGGCATGGTGGTGCGCACCTGTAGTCCCTGTTACTTGGGAGGCTGAGGCAGGAAGATTGCTTGAGCCCAGGAGTCTGAGGTTGCTGTGAGCTAGGCTGACATCATGGCATGGCACTCTAGCCCCAGCAACAGCATGAGCCTCTGTGTAAAAAAAAAAAAAAAAAGGTTGGTCCGAGTGCCGTGGTGTTTACAACTAATTGATCACAACCAGTTACAGATTCCTTTGTTCCTTCTCCACTCCCACTGCTCCACTTGACCAGCCTTAAAAAAAAACAATTCCACTAATGTTTTTTTTCTCCTGCCCCCCCCACCCCCGTTTTTGGAGACGGGGTCTTGCTTTGTCACCCAGGCTGGAGTGCAGTGGTGCGATCATAGCTCACTGTAACCTTATAACTCCAGGGCTCAAATGATCCTGCCACCTCAGCCTCCCGAGTAGCTGGGACTACAGGTGTGCACCACCACCAGCTAATTTTTAAACTTTTTGTAGAGACAGGGTCTTCCTATGTTGCCCAGGCTGGTCCTGCTTTGGGCTCCCAAAGTGCTGGGATTACAGGCATGAGCCACGTTGCCAGGCCTACTAATGGTTCTTAACCTCTTCTGACCAGGCACATCTGGATAATTTCTTCTATCTCACATCAGTCAATAAGTCCTGGGAATTTTACCCACTAATGTCTTTTTACACTAGTTCTAAACTCTCCACCCCTACTGCTACTGTGTTAAACCAGGTCTCTGTGACTTTCTACCATTATTTTCTAAGACTCATTAGGGCAGCGAACAGGTCTGTCTCATTCACTGTTGTTTCTCCAGTGTCTAGCACAACAACTGGTGCTCAGAATATATATACACCTAATAAGTGAACCTGTATTGATGGATTGCTGCATTAGTCTTCCCACATGGTGCCCCTGTCTCCAGGCTGCCATCTTCCAATCCTTTCTCTATACCGCAGTACATGGATTAGTGTTTCTAATGGGTATGGTGTCATCACTCTTCTCCCAAATTTTCAAATGACTCCCCACTGCCTTTAGGACAACAATCTAAACTCCTTTTCATGCTCTGTAAGACCATTTACAATCAGGTACAACTTCTATGATCTCTGCTTTGGATTCTCCAAATACCTCTCCTCCATTCCTCTTACTAATTCTTGCCTTCTGAAGGATCCATACCCGTTCATTTAATGAATATTTAAATAGCTGCTACTACATAGCAGGTTCCGCGCTTGTTGCTGTAAACGAAGAGCCGTAGCAACAGAGGTCCCACATCTAATGAAATATCTTCCAATTTGGACTTACCGGTTGTTGATATCGGAGTCGAAACCTTCACGAAACTCTTCTTCGCTCACTTCACAGCCCAGGATGTGGACTTGCTCCCCACTGAGGCAGAGACGAGAAGGGAGGGTCAAAGAGTACGGCACAAGCTCCTTTTCCAGGGTAGAACCGGGAGACGCTGAAGGATACTCACCTCAGAGCAGATTTCTTGATCAGCGCCTTCAAAAGACTGCGCCCCTCCCACTCCACGGAATCTGGAGAGAGCAAGGGAAGAATGGAGTGTTGAGAGCAGTGGGGTTTCCGCCTTCACGAAACCGTCGCGACTTCCAACCCTAGCCAGTGACTCACGGCCCTTCCTCTCCTCTCCCGCCCCCTGAGCCAGGCCCAGAACCCCCTGTGCCGCCCGCTCTCACCCCGAAGCAGCATCAGGCCGCCAAGGCCCAAGAGCGAATCCATCATCTCGGACTTGCGTCCGGTGTCTCCTCGGGCGCCCCCTGATGGCGTCATGGCCCACAGCCCGCCCCCTCCAGGTGAAAGGGGCGGGGCATTCATGATTCCTCCCACCATTAAGAGCTAACCTAGTCTGGAATGAGAGATGATTGCGTTCAATAGTCCCAGGGGGATTTAACGGAGGACACCCTCCAAAGCCCTAGCGCACACTTATAGGAACCACACCCGCGATTTACATAGTCACTGTGACTGGGGCGGGAAGAGCCGTTGGGGCAGTTGTCAATGGCGGGAGGGAAGAGGCCCCACGAGGCGCCCTCCCGCCCAGTCCGGACTACAAGGGCAAGTGACGTTCACCCAGCCCAGACCACGCCGTTCGAGGCGGGGCCTGCTTCGTCCTAGGCCCCGCCCCGCAGCCAACTTCAGCGCGTGCGCGATGCTGCAGCCTTGTTCGGAGCATTCTCCGCTTTGCTTATCCCTACCCCCATAGACCGAGTAGGGGGAACATTAGTCCGGGTGAAGCGAATACACGTCACCACCGGAAGTAGTGTCAGAGGGGAAGAGGAGGGGGGAAGAGAGGAGGAGGGAGCCCTCTGGGCAGTAAAATGGCGCCTGTAAGAGTGGGAAACCCAGCTGCAGAGGCTGCAGCCCCGCTCCCCAGCAGCTAAAGGACCCTCGAGCTCGGGGAGGGGGAGGCCGCTCCGGCCCAGCACTGCGCCCCCTTTGGCTCCCCCTCCCCCTCCTCCGCTCCTTCGCTTAGCAGGCCCGTTCTCCGCTGCCGAGGCTCTTCGCGCGCCGCTACCCCTGCCCGCCCCTTTCCCGCGGGCAGCCCCCTAGCGCGCCTGCGCAGCGAGCCACTCTCCGCTTTTCCCTTTCCCCTCCCCCTCCCTTCTCCCTTCTTCCCTTCTCCCTAACCCCCTCCCCCACAACCCCCTCCCCCAATTATCCATCCCTTTCCCTCCCGGTCTCCGAAGACCCCTTCCTAGCCCGACCTATCTCGGCCGGCAACCTTCGCGAAGCCGTCGGTGCCACTCCCCGCCCATGTGGGCCCCCGCGGGCTGCCCACGCCTGTCCCCCAGCTCCCCGTTCCTCTGGGCTTTTCCCTCGTCAGGGGTGGCTTTCTGAGCCGCCCGCTCCCTGCCCCTTTCTGCAGCCTCTCGTGCCACTCGGGGCCCCCGTTCCCCCTCCCGGTGGCGGGGGGCTGCCCCCGGGGGGCTGGCGGAGCTGGGCCGCGGGGGCCCCGGGGCCGGCGGTGCCGGGGTCATCGGGATGATGCGGACGCAGTGTCTGCTGGGGCTGCGCACGTTCGTGGCCTTCGCCGCCAAGCTCTGGAGCTTCTTCATTTACCTTTTGCGGAGGCAGATCCGCACGGTGAGCCTGGGTGGGCGCTAGAGGTGGCGGGGACCTCTGTCCGCGGTGCTCACGGGTTTTCATAAAGTGTCAAGCCTGTGTTTGGGCCTAGGAAGGGAATCGGGGGCTTTTTCCACTGGAGAATTAGGGCACCATAAACGGGGCTTGGGGTGGGGAGGAAGGAGACCCTTGTAATAGAACTGAGACCTGAGGGGTTTTGATGGGCCTAGATGGGACAGGATTTGGCAACTCTTGGGGGCTAGGGTGGTGGGTGGGGCGCGCTTTAAGAAAGCTGGAGTTGTTGCTAAAGACACCGAGATGCGGGGAACACCTGTTTGATGGCAGCCAGATCAGTTGATGTGAGCTTGTGAAAAACCCTTCTATTAGAACCTGTGTATGTGTTTGGTCTCATAACCAGGGAGAGAGAGACAGGCTTATGTGTAAGGGTGGAGGTAGGTGGGAGGGCCTACGTGACAAATAAGGATGGGAACTTAGAAAAGCCTTGGGTGAGAAGAAACCCCTGCAGTTTCCATTAAGGGTACTCTCCCCAAAAGGCTCAGAAAACTTACATCATAGTCTGAGTGTGGATATCTGGATTTATTGAGACCCTGAGACTAAAGATGATGCTTTTATGATGGTCTTCTTTAGTTGTTGGAGGGATCACATTAAAGTTTGGGTGTCGCTGTCAGAAGATAGCGCTGGTCAGTTGTAAGGCTTGAATCTGAGGGCACACTTGATCTCCAGGAGACCCTAGCATTATATGGGATACTGAGAGGAGTGGAGACTTTGGAAATATCCAAGCATCTCTAGGTTCCCTCCCCCAGAGCTTTTCTCCAAGGTCAGAGCGCCTTAAGCTAGCATCATTTTAATGAATGTGCCCTTGTGTTCTCATCACCACTGGGGAGAATCTTCTAAAGGAGTCTAGAGAGAATTTAGTGAGCTGGAGTACAGAGGTTCTTAGTCTGTACTCTTTGGCTTACCCCAATAAAATTTGAAAGAATAAAACCAGGTAGGGGCAGCATAGATCAAGGGAATTTCCAAAAAGCCCTGGGTGGTAGTGGTGGTTGACTTAACTAATGTGGGGGAATGGGCCTGGCCTCTTTTTTTTTTTTTTTTAACCAATCTACTCCTTCCACTTCCTGATTTAGGGGTTAGGACTGTTCAGGATGGTTGTGGTTGTAGGCAGGCCTATTCCCCTGTGACTAGAGCTAGGAGCCAGGAAAAATTTGGGGTCAGAGGTGCTGAGATATGTTTGGGGCTAGCTCCTTGGGTTTTCTTTATGAGTTGACTGCCATCTTCTCTGACTTTCTCTCCCTAATACATCAGTATTCTGGGTGGAGAGAGTAGTGCTCCAGCCCATCCACAGGTTAGTTACCTCCCAAATTACTCTCCTTTGGGCAGCACTGACCACACAGTCTTTTTGTCTTCCCTTCCCTTCCAATCTGGTTTATTCCCCCACCCCCTTTCTGGCAGATGCTTGGAGCATTCCCTACATGCCCAGCATATGCAACCCGAGATAGCAGGGCAGGACACCCGAGCTGTTTCAGCCCTCATCAGGGCCCAGGGAGAAAAGGGCGGATGCCTTGGGATTAGGGGGAGAGGGGCCCTTTATTTGCAAGGGGGGAGCCTGGTTCTAGTATGCTGTGGGGCCTAGGGATAGACTGAAGAGCATTTGTGCCTTAGAAGGAAAGAGCAGAGGGAATTGCCAGGCTTTGCATGGGGAGATCTAAGTATTAGGAAATAGGAGCTTCTAGAGAAAAGTTGGAGAAGCAGAGCTGGAAGGCCGAGGTGATGATGTCCTTGTCCCTTCTTCACCTTTCACTCACAGCCCTTACTCACTCTGGCCCTCTGCATGCCCTGTCAGTCAGCTTGGCAGGTGGGGCTTTCCAGTGTTCTCTGCCTTGCCCTAGGTACCAGGATAAGGAGGCTGTTCAGAGGACTGAGGTTCTCTGTAACTTGTGACTTGGCTAGGGGAGAGAGATGTGGACAGGTGGCTGGTTAAAATAGGTCTGGTGGCCCCCAGCCAGAGGAACTTAACTGACCTGACAACCTTTGGATTCCCTCATTCTCTGTTCCCATGAGGAATCCAAGGACCTCCTCTCCTAACTCCTACCCAGTCTACTAAGGAATCTGAGGCTCTCAGTTCCCAATGTGAGATGATGGCAGTTGCCACAAAGAATCCTTGGGGTGAATGTGGGGAGTTCATGTATTTCTTTGTTCAGCATAGCAAGATCATATCATGGCTAAAGGGCAGGTTTTTGGGTTGGACTGCATGGGTACAATCCTGGCTCCACCACTGCATCTATTCTACTAATATTAACTGACTATCCTTGCTACAGTGTTCTAAGCACTGGGAATACAGCCATGATTGAGACAAAAATCCAAGTTTTCATTCTAATTGGGGAGAAAAAGAAGATAAAAGAAGATAGCTGGGTGGCCTTAGGCAAAGTATTTAACCCCTCCAAGCCTTGGTTTCTTCATCCTTAAAACAGGGATAATATTTTTAGGGTTGTTTTGAGGATTGAAAGAAATAATCCTAAATCACAAACACAGTGCATATGGTAAATGTTCAATATATGCTACCTCTTATTGTTACTGTGGAAGACATCCTTGTCAAGGGTTCTAATCATCTCTGTTGCTATTCTTAGGTAATTCAGTACCAAACTGTTCGATATGATATCCTTCCCTTATCTCCTGTGTCCCGGAATCGCCTAGGTGAGTATGCTGGCTGGGAATACTCCTTTAAAGTGAGGTAGCCTTCCAGCTCTGAGCTGGAGGTCAGTCGGTGTCATCCCTTCCCATTGTGGTTCAGCCCAGGTGAAGAGGAAGATCTTGGTGCTGGATCTGGATGAGACACTTATTCACTCCCACCATGATGGGGTCCTGAGGCCCACAGTCCGGCCTGGAACACCTCCTGACTTCATCCTCAAGGTGTGTGGGAGTGGGGAGTGATGATATGGTTATATCTGTTACTCTGCCCAGCCCTGGACTCCCTTTTCCAGTCCCAGAGCATCTGGTCCTCATCCCCTGGTACTAGTGTCAGCGTGAAGGAGGAAAGCAGGTGGTGGTGGTAGGGTTGGCTGGGGGTGTCCTCTAAGCCTGTGTTGTGGAGCTCAGGACTTCCCCTAGCCCATCCTTGTTCCTTTACAGGTGGTAATAGACAAACATCCTGTCCGTTTTTTTGTACATAAGAGGCCCCATGTGGATTTCTTCTTAGAAGTGGTAAGTTTGCAGGAGCTAAAGGGAGCTCTGTTTTAGGGCTCTGAGAATTTAGGGGATTTGGAGGAAGTGACAAGAAGAAATGGGTAAAGGCAGTTTTGGAGAGGGGAGGCTGTAGGATGGTAGGGGAATGGCTTTCCGTAGTTGGGGTTGATTTGTTGTGCTGATGTAAGCCATAGGCATCTTTCTCTTTTTTTCTTCCATCTCTGAATCTTAAGGGTATAGGATGCCTCAGAAACTGAGTTTGGAGGTTTTTGGGGTGGGGGTGGTTCCGAATTTTGCATTTCCAGAGACACTGATGTTGATGAAAGGCTTGAAGGACTAGGTTGGCGTCCTAGTGAAAGAGAACTGTATGGTTAAATGAATGATCATGATATATGACATTTCCCTCTTCCCCAATCTATTTTAGGTGAGCCAGTGGTATGAGCTGGTTGTGTTTACAGCAAGCATGGAGATCTATGGCTCTGCTGTGGCAGATAAACTGGATAATAGCAGAAGCATTCTCAAGAGGAGATACTACAGACAAGTAAGGAGCTAGAATACAGGTCTAAGAGTGAAGCCCAGGAGGTAGACCACCAGGGAGGGATCTGGGTTTGGGGCAGTTGCCTTGGAGGGAGTCTGGGGGAGGTATACTTGATTATCCTCCTGCCTTCCAGCACTGCACTTTGGAGTTGGGCAGCTACATCAAGGACCTCTCTGTGGTCCACAGTGACCTCTCCAGCATTGTGATCCTGGATAACTCCCCCGGGGCTTACAGGAGCCATCCAGGTATGGGGGAACGTGGTGAATCTGGCAGGACCAGAACATGGTTCTGAGAAGGTATTTTGATTGCAGGAAACTAGGAGGCAGATGGCCTGGGCCTTGGTCTTTGAGAGCTGGAATTTGCTAGTTTATTATAGGTCCAAATGCAAGTTCTCTATTTCATATGAGACACCCCCCATATGTCCATTTCACAAATCAGATTTCTTACATCCAAGTTTTTTCAAGTGAGGCACAATGGCAATAAATTTGACTAGAAGCCTTATACTAATATTAGATCTGGTGATTTTTTTTTCTTTTTTTAAAATTTTGATTCTTACTTTTTTCCTTTTTTTTAACCAATGAAAGTATGTGTTTTGCTGAATAGATCTGGTGATTAAAATTTAATTTTATTTTGGAGATTAAATCAGGAAGGTTTTACTGACATTGACTTTGGGTAGGGGGAGGTATATAAAAACATCTAGTCTCTCTCTCTCTCTTTTTTTTTTGAGATAGAGTCTTTGTTGCCCAGGCTAGAGTGAGTGCCCTGGCGTCAGCCTAGCTCACAGCAACCTCAAACTCCTGGGCTCAAGGAATCCTACTGCCTCAGCCTCCCAAGTAGCTGGGACTACAGGCATGCACCACCATGCCCAGCTGACTTTTTCTATATATATTAGTTGGCCAATTAATTTCTATTTATAGTAGAAACAGGGGTCTTGCTCTTGCTCAGGCTGATTTCGAACTCCTGACCTCGAGCAATCCACCCTCCTTGGCCTCCCAGAGTGCTAGGATTACAGGCATGAGCCACCAAGTCCCAGGCCCATCTAGTCTCTCTTAAATCCTTTGTTTCTTCACATCTGCATTTTCACACACTCTAGACAATGCCATCCCCATCAAATCCTGGTTCAGTGACCCCAGTGACACAGCCCTTCTCAACCTGCTCCCGATGCTGGATGCCCTCAGGTAAGGGAAGTGGGCTCTAGACACTTGGCTTTCTGAGGAAAGGAGGTGGTGGAGGATACCAAAGGGGAATAAACAAAGTTTGTCTTGTTTTATTTACTTACCTCTCTTCCCTTAAGAACTTAGCATTTGGGCCCAGGCCTTTTTACTCCAGAACTCATCACTTTTAGCTGTTGGGTTTTGGGGACATTGAACGTTCCTCATCATGTGAAAATGAGCCCCACATCTCCAGTGATGCCGCCTTACACTAATGTTGTGAGGATAGCAACTATGAGATACTCTACCAACGCAAGTTATTGTCATCCCAGGTTCACCGCTGATGTTCGTTCTGTGCTGAGCCGAAACCTTCACCAACATAGGCTCTGGTGACAGCTGCCCCCCCTCCACCTGAGTTGGGGTGGGGGGGAAAGGGAGGGCGAGCCCTTGGGATGCCGTCTGATGCCCTGTCCAATGTGAGGACTGCCTGGGCAGGGTCTGCCCCTCCCACCCTCTCTGCCCTGGGAGCCCTGCACTCCACTTGGAGTCTGGATGGACACGTGGGCCGGACTCTGAAGCAGCCTCACTCTAACTTCGTGTTCACACTCCATGGAAACCCCAGACTGGGACACAGGCGGAGGTCTAGGAGAGCCGGAACAATGTCTGTGGTGGAGAGGCAGGACTGGCCAGAGAGACAGACAGACGATGATCCGGGAGGCTCAAAGAGACGCCAAGTCAGCTTTGTTGTGATTTGATTTTTTAAAAACTCTTGTACAAAACTGATCCAATTCTTCACTCCTGCTCCAAGGTCTGGGCTGTGGGTGGGAGACTGGGATTTTGGGCCACTGGACTGTCCCCAAATTTGTCTCCCCTTACCTTCCTTCTTTTTTCCCCTCTCCTTAGATTTCCTCAGACCTGTAACCAGCTTTCTCTTTTTTTCCTTTCCTCTCTTTTAAACCATGCATTATAACTTTGAAACCAAAGCTGCCCTAGATCCTTCTCTGGGGTTTTGGGAAATGAAGGGAGGGTAGTTTGTTCACATCCACCCTGTCCCCGAAGCAGAGGGGAAAGAGACTGCTGTTGGACCTGAGGGGTTAGGGGAAGGGTGATGTTGAGTATGGGAATGGGGTTGCGAAAGTCGACACCAGATGCTTTGGCGGGAAGGGCTGAGTGACAGGATGGGTGTCCTGGTGGGGAGTGGAAGGACACCTTTAGAGAGCCATGGGCTATAGAAGCATGAAAAAAACCTGGACGCCCGAAGGGCATATAGTTGGAGAAAGACCAGGCTTGGCCTGCAGGACTGACGTGGACAGCCTAAGCGGGCGCTGCCCCCAGGCGGCTGGTGCCCACGACCGCGACAGCCACCGTTCGGGCGGGACAGGCCTCCCTCCCGGCTCTAGCCCCACGGACTCCACCTCCGCTGCGCCCTCCTCCTCTTCCTTCTCGAAGCCGGCTCTACATCCTTGCACCCGCCACGTGACGCTCCGCCCTCCTCTGAGATCACATGATTCGGTCATACAGTCCATGAAAGTGTTCCTCCGCGCTGGCGTAGTTCCTACCTTTCGGACCTCCTTCACAGTCACTATTGGTCCACTCCTGGAACTTAGCGTGCTATACGTCTCTCCAGACATCTGTTTCCTTTTTGGCCTTTTATTTCTGGAGACCTTCTCAGCCACTTGGGTACTATTTTGTTTTGTTGTCAACGGCCGCCTTCAGCGTAGCAACACGTTTCGTGAATAGCTAACCTTGTACTTGTCTGCTGTTCTATGTTATTTCCGAAAAGAACTTGGCGAACCAAGTCATATTATGATTACCATCTCTTACCTCTTTTCATTCCCAGCTTTGTGGGTGTGGGGCGGAAGGTCAGAAAATGGGTTTTTAGTTATTTTCCACAATAGCAAAGGCCAGCCACCTTTGCTACGTCGCTTGCGTAGTTCACAAATCGATGCCAAAGCGATTACGCCGATGGCGTGAGGGGGGCGGTCAGTGGGTGGTGCTACGCTGGCAGCGTTGCTGCCGCTGGGCTAGAGGCGTATCTTAGCAGGTTGGGCTGCCCCCGATAGCTGGGGGCGGGGTTGGTGAATAGGGAAGTGGCGCAAATTCGTGGATCGCTCCGCTGAATCCGCCCGCGCGTCGCCGGCGTCGCCACCGCCCCCCGTCCCGGCCCCCCCCCCCGCCGGGTTCCCGCAGCCCAGCCCGGTCCAGCCCGGTTCCCGGGAGGATGAAGTTCGTGTACAAAGAAGAGCATCCGTTCGAGAAGCGCCGCTCTGAAGGCGAGAAGATCCGAAAGAAATACCCCGACCGGGTCCCGGTGAGGACAGTAGCCAGGGCCGAGGACTTGGGACGCTGACGCTGACGCCACAGCCTGGGTTTGGGTGCGGGACTGGCTGCGCGGGGATCTGGCTGCCGGCTGTGGTGGGCTTCGTAGCGAGCCTGAAACTGCTGTCCCTGGGACCGAGGGTGAAAGGAGTGGGGTAGCGATAGAGCGGAGGATGAGGGGATGTGGACGGGAGAGAGAAACCTTGGCATTCGTGTGAGTGGAGGCCTTAGGGAGTTTGACAGCCCGAGCTTCACATGGTCATCCCCCCAGTTAGCTAGGATTGCGAGGTTGAAGCTCTAGTTGGCCCAGACAAGTCGTCTATGATTGAAAGAGTTGTTTATTTATTATGGCGCCCTGTTCAGGGCTTGATCCTGGGTATTTATTTAGGTAGCTACAGTCGGTGGGGTCAGGATCTCTGACACTCTGCTGTACCGCGTGTGCAGAGACAAAGAAATTAGTCTGGGGTAGATTTAGGTGCTAGGAATATTGTTGCTTGAATTCTTGACAGGTGGAGCTGCAGGGTTGTATGCCTTATGTTTCCTAATTTTCATTTTTCCTTTATCAGGTGATAGTAGAAAAGGCTCCCAAAGCTCGAATAGGAGACCTGGACAAAAAGAAATACCTGGTGCCTTCTGATCTCACAGGTGGGAACCTGACCCAAGACCCAGCTTTGCTTTCTGTGGGTGGGAGTACAATCTCTGTGGGAGGAGGCTCCACCTACCAGCTGTTCTTTTGAAGGTATTTATGATTTCTGTGACTTTCTTGTACCTTGTATCTTTGGCAGTTGGTCAGTTCTACTTCCTGATCCGGAAGCGAATTCATCTCCGAGCTGAGGATGCCTTGTTCTTCTTTGTCAACAATGTCATTCCACCTACCAGTGCCACGATGGGTCAGCTATACCAGGTATGGCAACTAGGAAGCAGTGTAGGCTTTGGGGAGGAGTCTTGGAAGATCTTGAGGGAAAGAAAGTGTTAGATTAGCAGTTCTTGGATTAGGTGGCTAGCTTGTCTTAAAATTTCATGATAGTTTTAGGTTGGGGGTTTAAAGAGGACATTGTGAGTAGAGAGAAGGGAAGAGAACAGTGAACTGAAGGAATGGTTCTGATCAGTACTCCCCCAGGTCCTCCTCCCCTTTGGAAGGCAGCAGAGAACACTTTGAGATCTTTTGCTCAGAATTGCTATAGGAATGATATCTGCTTGGTTGCTTGCACATGGAGTCAGTGAGGGAGAGAGTCAGGCATTGGTTTTGGAGGTCTTCAAAAATAGTTTTTGAAGAACATGTCTGGCTGGTGGTTGGTTCAAGTAACTGAAACCTGGTTGCCTGAACACCATTTTCTACTTTCACCCCAGGAACACCATGAAGAAGACTTCTTTCTATACATTGCCTACAGTGATGAAAGTGTCTACGGTCTGTGAAGCTGCTGCCCCTGAGGTGTGGGGGGGGTTCTCATTCTACAAAGAGAGAGGTGGCCCCTCTTCCTTGACTTCCTCCTCCTCCTTCAGGCTGAAACACCACCTCTTTTCTTCAGGACCTGCACTTCTTAATGTTTAAGGTCTTCTCTCCAGCTCCTCTTAGCAGGAGGGGTAATGGAGGAGATGGCCTCTTGTACCTCTCCTTTCTCCTTTCTTTCCCTTTCTCTGCTCACCTTTCCCATTCTGCTTTAGATTTCTTGATTGTCAATCTCAGTCACATCCAGTGATTGTTTTGGTTTCTGTTCCCTTTCTAACTGCCCTAGGGGCTCCGAACCCCAGCAATCCCTTCCTTTCACTACCTTTTTTTAATGGGGGTAGTTGGAAGGGACTGAAATTGTGGGGGGAAAGTAGGAGGCACATCAATAAAGAGGAAACCACCAAGCTGAACTGAATTTTGCCTCGTGTTGCCCCGTCACCCTTTTGTTTTTTAGTTTCGTGGAGGTGTCATGGGCTTCAGTGGTGGGGAAAGAGGAGGAGTAGGTACAGGTTGGAGGGATAGAAGTATATTTTGGTTTATTCTGTTCACGTTGGGCTTTTCCCTGTCTCTGTACAGGGGTGATTTTGTTGTCATGGAACACTCTGAGTATCGTTTCATGAAATTTTCTTTCTTTCTTTCTTTATTTTTTTGAGACAAAGTCTCACTCTGTTGCATGGGCTAGAGTGCCGTGGCATCAGCCTAGCTCACAGGAACCTCAAACTCCTGGGCTCAAGCAATCCTTCTGCCTCAGCCTCCTGAGTAGCTGGGACTACAGACACACGCCACCATGTCCGGCTAATTTTTTCTATTTTTGGTAGAGACGGGGTCTCGCTCTTGCTTAGGCTGCTCTCGAACTCCTGAACTCAAACCATCCACCTGCCTCGGCCTCCCAGAGTGCTAGGATTATAGGCATGAACCTCTGTGCCTGGCCAATATTTATTTATTTTGAGACAGGCTCTCACTCTTTTGCCCAGGCTTGAGTGCAGTGGGGTCACAGCTCACTGCAACCTCAGACTTTTGGGCTTAAGTGACCCTCCTGCTTCAGCCTCCTGAGTAGCTGGGACTGCAGGTGTGTGGTACCATGCCTGGCTAATTTTTCTATGTTTTGTAGAAACAGGGTCTCAACTATGGTGCTCAGGATGGTGTGGAACTCCTGGACTCAAGCGATCCTCCCACCTCCATCTCCCAAAGTGCTAAGATTACAGGCATCAGCCACCAGGCCCAGCCTATGTATGTGTATATAAAATACGTATATAGAACTAAATGTTAAAAATATTGATATAAAAAAATTCTATTTTTTACTGTGGGTTCTTACAAAAGAATGTTTGAAAGTACCTGTTTTAGATAAAAACATCCAGATTAGTTTTTTAAAGCCAGTCAAATTTAGTCATCCAAATTTGTTATAGCGTTTTCGATTAAAGAGCAGGAGATTTTCGTGAGTGGGGGCCGGTAAAAGGACTGTTTTTAGTTGCATGTCTCTTGGCCAGACTGTCGGCGTGTGCGATCCAGTGGAGTGGAATCTGAGGGAGGGAGAAAACTGGGAGGAGGGCGCCATTATCACCAGAAGAACTTCATGTCCCGACAATCATTTCTCCGACTGGCCGGAAGTGGGGCGGTCCCCAAGTGGAGAAAGACTATGCAGAAAGGCAGTATGGTGGCCGAGAGTTCTAATGCTTCTTCCTCTTTTTTTTTTTTTGGTCCCGCCCAGCCTACATTTCCCAGGGGCCTGCGCGTGCTCTTCCGCGCTATCGTCTTGCTCCCAGTACCCCCGCCACTCCCCGGGGGAGGGGAGCGGCGTAGTGCGCCTGCGCCAACATATGGCTTGCTGGGAACTGAAGTTCTAGAGGCTTATGCAGTCCTCTTTCCGCTGTCCCCGGACGAACTACAAACCCCTTGGTGCATTGCGCCTCGGCGCCGGCGGAGGGAGGGGGGAGAGAAGAGGAGGGAGGGAAGAGAGAAGAGGAGGAGGGAGCAGGCGGCCGGCGGCGCGGGGGGAGGGGGCCCCGGTCCGGGAGTGCGGGAGGCAGTGGTAGAGGGAGGTGGCGGCAGCGGCTAGCGGACTTGAGTCTCGACCAGGCTGAGGTGGATACTTCTGTGGAGCGAAGCAGTAGAAGCACCAGAGCACTAGAGGCGGCACTGGGATTCCCGGCTCAGGGGAGGGGGGCGCCGGACCAGGAGGAGGGGAGGGGGCGATGCTGGAAGCCATGGCGGAGCCCAGTCCCGAAGGTGAGGTCTCGACCGGCACCGAGCGCTGAACCGGCGGGGGGTGGGCGAGAAAGCAATTGGCAAACTTGGAGGTCGAGCCCCGGAGCTCAGCGGGGGAGTGTAGGGAGGGGGTCGGGGGCCTGGCCCTGGAGGTGGGAGGACGACGAGTTGAGAGACCTTGGAGAAAGAGGAGTGGAAGACTGGGTTGAGGTAGTTGGTGATCAGACACTGTGTGTGGGGGGAGGTGGGGGAGCGAAGGATAGGAGCTGGAAACCCGGAGCTTCGGGGGTTAGGGGCCGAAAGGGCCACCGGCAGGTTGGGGCCCTGGAGCTGGGGGAATCTGAGGGCCGGAGAGTTGTTGAGGAGGGAAGACGTACAACAAGACTGAGTGAGGGGCCCAGTAGTTCGCCGAGGTGGGGGAGTTTGTGGCTGCGGTGCCGGAGCGCCGAGTAGTTGCCGCCGGAGGATAGCCCGGTGATTGTTGGAGGGGTGGGCAGGTAGTTGTGGGGAGAAGAGAGGGTCTGGGTATTGTCTGCGGTAGAGGGACCTGTAGTGGGGGTTAGTTGTGGGGAGAGAGAGTGGGGAAGCGAGGCGAGGTGGGTAGTTGAAGGGGGCGGTGGGGCGGGGTGGGGGGGTTAGGACCGGCGACTTGTGTGTGTGGGGGGTGTTGGTTCGTGAGGGTTAGAGCCTGGGAGTTGCGGAGGATGAGGGGGCAGCGGCGGCAGTAGCAGGGGCTGCTGTGGAGAAAGTATCTTGTTGGGGGGAGGGGGCTAGAGTTTAGGGGGTCCGTGGCTTGGTGACTTGGTGAGTACGGGGGTGGGGGGGTGCGTCGGTCATAGAGAGCTCGGAACAGGGCCCGGGGGCCCGGCAGGGAGCCCGAGGAGCTCGAGACGGGGAGGGGCCAAAGCCCCGGATGGGGGCGGAGGGACGACGAAATTGTGGGGAGCGCGGTGTGGGGGGCAGGTGGGGCCGCGTCCGGGTTGGAGCTCTTTGGTCTGTCCCGGACGCGAAGTAGCGTTGGATGTGTGTGCCTGTGTGTTGTTTGGGGTGGGGGTGAGGGGCGCGTCGGGCCTCGTGCTCGAGTAGAAGGGAAAGGGCCGGAGGGCGGGGAGCGGTTCAGCGTGGTCATCCTGGACCCTGGGGGCCGGCGGGCGGCGTGTGCGGTCTCAGAGGGCCCGAGGCGGTAGAGCGCGGTCGGGTAGGAACTTGGGTCTCCGAGCGCGTGTGAAGGACTGGGGGCGGGCGGGCGGCGGCCTGGGCTCGGTCCTGGGAGCGGTATGGCGGGGTGGGGCGCTGAGAGATCCGAGTAGACTAGAGTCTATAGAGAAACCGTGTGTTGGGGGGGCGGGGCGCCGGGCCTCCGGTTGGGGGAAGGGGAGCGCTATAACGAGGCCTGAGAGGGCGCCGCGCCCAGGCTCCGCCCCTCGTAGGGCGGAAGGGGGAGCAGGGGCGGGTCCATCACAGCTGGGGGCCTGCTCGCTTGGCCCAGGGACCCGGGAGAGGAGGGGGTTCACTTGCGGCCGACAGGGTTTAGAGTTGAGCTTTTACACAGATTGCTTCTTAATGTCTTGACTCAGCTTTTATTGCTTTTACAGATCCACCTCCGACCCTTAAACCAGAGACTCAGGTGAGTTTTCCTTTACCTTTGCAGTATAGTATCACTGCCTGACATTCCCTCTTTCCCCTAACCCTTCTCTGCCCTTTCTAGATTTCTCACTTAGGGCCCTTCTTAAACTCGTGTCTAGATTCCATGTTATCCATGTTTCCTTCCTTTCAGCCACCAGAGAAACGGCGGAGAACAATAGAGGATTTCAACAAATTCTGCAGTTTTGTTTTAGCCTACGCTGGTTACATCCCCCCTAGCAAAGAGGTAGGGACAGGAGGACGACTGACTTAAGGCTGGTATCCTAGGACTATAGAGGGGCTGTTGCGGAAATGGGACTGTATTACTTTATGGGAGGAGCCTCTCAGAAATTATATGTAAGACAAGGGAAGTTGGAACTCTTAGAGGTGGGGTAGGAAAGCTGGTATGGAGAGAGGAGATAGCTAGTTTGAGCTGCAATGATAGGCAGAGGGGACTTAGAGGCTTTGGTCAAGGTTTTGGCATGGTTTTGGAAGGTGTTTTTCACTAAATTTAGGAAGCTGAAAATAGTAACAAAGGAGGGAGTACAGAAATACAGGGATAGAAATATGGCTGTAGCTTGGGGAATACAGTGTTCAAAGGCCCTGTGGGGGCAGTGGGGAGATGGTTAGATCTTGAGGGTGGAGGGCACATGACAGAGGGAGATGCTGATGGGAATTGGTGTGGTAGTAAGTTTTCTGAGTGCAGTGAGATTTGGTGGTTGAGTAGGATATTTTAGGGTAGATCTAGGCCCTGGTTTTCAGACTGGGTTTGTGGAGGGGTTGAGATGACACTGGGCTCCTACTAATCCCAGTCTTTTACTCCTTTTAAGGAAAGTGACTGGCCAGCCTCTGGCTCCAGCTCTCCATTGCGAGGTGAGAGTGCAGCAGACAGTGATGGCTGGGACTCGGCCCCCTCAGATCTTCGAACCATCCAGACCTTTGTCAAGAAAGCAAAGTCATCTAAGAGGAGAGCTGCCCAAGCAGGTCCCACCCAGCCAGGACCCCCAAGGTCCACTTTCTCTCGTCTCCAGGCCCCTGACAGTGCCACTCTGCTTGAGAAGATGAAGCTCAAGGACTCTCTTTTTGATCTGGATGGGCCCAAAGTGGCATCTCCACTGTCCCCCACATCCCTGACACATCCCTCCCGGCCCTCTGCTGCTCTCACCCCAGTGCCCCTTTCCCAGGGAGACCTTTCCCAGCCTCCTCGAAAGAAGGACCGAAAAAACCGAAAGTTGGGGCCAGGATCAGGGGCTGGCTTTGGGGTGCTTCGGAGGCCTCGGCCAGCTCCTGGTGATGGGGAAAAGAGGTCTCGAATCAAAAAGAGCAAGAAGCGGAAGTTAAAAAAGGCAGATCGAGGAGATAGACTCCCACCTCCTGGGCCTCCCAGGGCACCCCCCAGTGATACAGACTCTGAAGAGGAGGAGGAAGAGGAAGATGATGATGATGAGGAGGAGATGGCAGCAGTGGTAGGGGGTGAAGCCCCAGCCCCTGTGCTCCCAACACCCCCCGAGGCTCCTAGGCCCCCTGCCACAGTGCACCCTGAAGGAGCCCCTCCCACCGACAGTGAAAGCAAGGAGGTGGGCAGCA